TGAGGGGAAATTTGTGTTGTAATTTTAAAATATAAGAGGAATGAATTATAAAAGTAGAAGTTCGAAAGGCACATTGTTATAATGCTAAGAGAAATGTTAGTATCAATTTTTTTTGTCACACTACATTCATTATTTCACATATGGACTCCATTATTACATTTTCTGTTTAAATAATAATATATCATGTTAGTGAAATTTGACACATATTTTTTATTTAAATAATAATATATCATGTTAGTGAAATTTTAAATATCAAACTGTGAAGGTAAAGAGTGACCCTAGCATTTTTCTAATGCTAAAGGTTCAAGAGGTAATTTACAAAACTTAATCTTATAAATATAATATTATAGGGGACTACACAAAACAAAATTTCTTGGAAATAGATTGAGAAATACACCATTTTATGACGAACATCTGTTGAAGTTTAAAGGCCCGTTCACTTCGCTGATTCGAGTTTGTAATTTGAGTTGAGATGTGATTTTATGTGAGAGCTTTTTACTGTAGTAAAAAAGTTAGATGTGACTGTTTCTGAAAACTTTTTACTATAATAAAACTCAAATTTTAAACTCGAATAGTAAAGTGAACGGAGCCTACTTGAACGATGAACTTCCTCTTGCTTTCAAAAGGGTTTCTCACTTACTGTTTTTTCCCCCACGAAAAAAAAAAAAAAAAAAAAGTAAAGGAAAGATTCAAGACAAAGAAAACGTACAAGGAAAGATTCATGGAATGACACTGGATTGGATATTGGATTTTCTTGATTAGAGTACGAAACAAAACGCTTTTTCATGATGTGCATGACTTTTCTTTTTTCGCGTGTATCCTTGCATTTGAATTTCTTTTTAATCCTCATTTTTTTCCGTTTATGATTAGCATCTGGGAGATTTAATTTATATATTTAGAATTATAATTCAGAATTATATTTATTTTATTTATATTTTTTATGAAAGAAAATAATATAAAAAATTATGAATCATGATTTAAAATTAGAGATAAATATAAAAAATAAATCTCATAAAATTTAGATGCACATGTATGGATGCATGCATGTGTTCAACACTATGTTCTCGTGATGAAATAACTACTTCTGAAACTTGCAGCACCTTTCCACGCCATCTTATCTTCTTCTTTTTTATACTTAGAGTGCGTTTAATTGGTAGATTGATATCATAATTCGTAGCTCGTTACAGTATTTTTTTTTTTAAAAAAAATACGTAAATTGAGAATAATTTTAAATCATGATTCTAAATCTATCAACTAAACGTCTACTCAATTATTTTAAACCTTAAATTTTACATAAGCTCAGAATTCTACTTTCAAATTTAAATACGTGTCAAATTTTGTACGTGATTGATCTATGAATTGATGAATTTACGCTTTGCAGCTTATGGATAATCTCGACATCTAGTCAACAATGAATGTTGACCCCGAGTTACCGACTCAATCTCACTTATTGGTGATCGAACTATACATGGTCAGATTTTTATTTTTTTTCTATTTTTAGAGTTACTGACTTATTGGAATTAATTTCTGAGGAGCCAAAGAAAATGACAGTACTAGTAGGGTATGACCATACGCACGGGTTTGGTCCCCACCTAACTAGAGTAAAACCAAATTGCCTAGTCCATGATTTTTTTTTTTTTTTTTTTTTTTTCAATGAAGCCCAGAGCATTAGTACTAATAGTTTATATTGTGGATAATTTAGATGATAAATCTATTTGCATGTTTTAAACGACTAAGATTGCAAGCCATATTATTGCATGTGAAAACGAAGCACATCACAAGTGAAAGTTAACACAAAGGTTGGAGACTGCCAACCATTATTGACACAAAGGGAGGAAAAAAAAAAAGAAACATATGGAATAATAGCAAACCAGACAATTCAAGTCAACGTCGGGTTAAAGTGGGGATGGTTGGAATAGTCCTTCAGCTTTGGTGGCAAGACAAACCTAAATGAAAAAGATGGCCATATATCGACTTGAGAGGATGGAAAATAAGAAGAACACGTGTTTGCGTTGCCGCAAAATGAGAATTTTATGACATGTTGACAAGAAAATTAATAAAAAAATAAGATAAGATTGCAAGATCGTATCTGAGTTAGAAAAGTATATTAATTTAGCACAACTTGATGAAAATTTAACAATTAAAAACTTAGATTTAACAAATAGGGTATATATACACAAATATATTTCATACCTTATCCGAGAATTCTCTCAACAAAGATCACAAAATTTAAAGTTCATTTTGCAAGCTTTGCAGAGAAATCCATTTGCTTAACTTGATGCACATATAAAGAGCCCAACAGCAGTATTCTGTTAGTCTTGGCTGCAAGTGAGTTGTTTTCAAATTGTTCTTCTGTGGGGTGCATGAACACATGTAAAATGATTCTTCTTTTGACTAATATGATTATGGACTATTAGCTTTCACGTAAGGAGAAACAAAAAAGGTATAAAATTAACACAACTTAATGAAGATCTACCCGTTTAGAGCTACGCAAATCCGTAAGGTATTTCTTTTTACTCTTATCATTGGATTCTCTTGAATGGAAAACTAGGATGAGCAAAAAATGCTTTAAGTTGTTCAGAAAATGAAGGACAAAATACTTGATAATTGGTACTTTGGGAATCTTCTTTTGATGTTCATATTCTCACGGAAGTTAGGGCGATGGGCCAGAGAACCACGGAGACTGCCGTAAATTGAATGGGCATACAGAAATTTCCTTGCCGACAACAAAAGAGAGTACAACAATAAAAATAAAAACAAGGTTAAGCAAAGTTCAAAGCTTTAAGGTAAGCGTCAATTTCAAAAGAAAAAAGCAAAAGTACTCTCCAAAGTAACAAATATGCCAAGCATCAGAAGAAAACAAAGATGGGCTTTGTCTATAAAAAACATCTCCTATTTCCTTCCTTTTTTCTTTTAGATTCTCAAGTTAGATATCTTTTTCTTCTCACGCTCAGATTTTTTTGTGATATGGTTAGAGGATTTAAAGCTGATAATGATTTATACCTGACAGGTGTCTTTGAATGGCTACAATCTGATGGTCCTATCTTAATATCCTCATATGTTCTGACCAGATCTTTCTGCCAATAATAATAAACAAAATGGAGGCAAAAGAAATAGGAAGATATGAATAAAGGCCTGTTTCGCATGACTTTCTAAAAGCAACTTAGGAGTATTTGGGTGTCTCTCTCATAAAAGTATTGAATAGTGATCCTCTGAACAAGGATCCAGTAAAAATCACCTAATTCGAAAGATATGCTGAGAAGAATTTGAAACTTGTGTCAAAGTTTTAATAAGATTTTAAAAACTTTAATATCTTTATTGTTGATCAGTTAAGTTAAATCACATTTTTGCTGCTATAAGCTGCTTCGAAAATATGATTCCTAACACTTCCTGAAAGTCATATATAGGGAAAAGTTCCGGCAAAAGGGCGATATAAACACGCTCAATGATACATTAAGACCAAACACCGGATTCCAAGGCGATGACAATCTAATATCTTTGACAAACAGTTACGATGACATCATACAATTTACCAAGGCACTCCAAACTAGCAAGCATATAAGAAAGTTACTTCCACTAGAAACTCATGGACAATTTCAATTTGTATACATTCTACTACTAATAAGTGCTGCTATGTACAAAGGTTTTTCAAAATTACCGATATTTGACAATCTAAAAATTTCTGGAGTAGGATATGCGGAGTCCTAACTATACTTGAACAAAAAAGGACTTAAAACTTTGAGGAAAAGCTTCTTTTCCAGCTTCAAACAGTTTTGAAGAAGTTAGTCATTAAGAGTATATTTGGTATGAGGGATGGATGAGGGGAGGGAGAAGGGTGGAGGGAGAGCCCCAATCTATTGTTTGGTTGGAGGGAGAGGAGAGGTAGAGGGATGTGGTCTCTCTCATGGCCCATCAAATTAGATGGAAGGATTCAAGCAATGCACAATTTTTAAGTTTTGAAAGACTATTTTACCCTCTAAATAAATTATTAACAAATAATTTAAATGGACAATTTAATAATTTCACAAATAATAATTATTATCCATCATTTCAACTCTCCTTTCATCCTACCAAATAATATGAAGAATTACTATAATCCTCTCCATCCTTATTACTCTCCATCCCTCCAACTCTCTTCATCCTTCCTACTCTTCCCCCAACTAAACGGAGCCTTAGTGTCCTCAAAATGAAAGGAAGCCAAAAAAGATAAACCTAGGCCACAAAATGTCAATTGAAAGCGTGTGATTTGAAATACTAAACAAGATCCTAGGCTAGTATAATTCAATGTAGGGACTGAAAACTAAATGGAAACTGAGGAGCCAAAAGTCACAGACCATGTAACTATTGATTACCCCACAGCATACACAGAAACTAAAGTGCCCATTTGGAAGATGGGTTCAAAGGAGTGGTTTAAATTAGAGTTCAAATTTTGTGAGAAAAAAAACTGTAGTAGAACTTTTTAAATTCAAATTTATTGTGAGAGAAACACTCTTTGAACAAAAACTAGGTGCGTTTGAAACCATAAAACAAACCGGTCCTAAGGCCAGATCAAGGGCTCTTGGTCAAGTTTTGATCAGCAAAACAGTAAAGAAATGGCTAGAGTAAAAGAGCTCTCAGTCACATTTTTCTTGAATGACTGCCGCTTAAAAAGCCAATCTTTCAATTTGGAAAAATGACTATAATGAGAGTCCTCATCATCTATACTTCTACTTCTACATCAGAATGAACACAATAAGTACCTCACCCATGAGGTTCTATTTCATTGACATTTAAAAAGGAAGTTCCTTTTTTTAAAGATGAAAAAGAAATGATCTTGATCCAAAAAGGTGCATTTTGGAAAAGGAAATTGGAGAACAGGTTAGGCATAGACACGAAAACTGAAAGTAAATGCATCCTAGTCACAAAGTCAGGTGTATTAAGCAATCTTGCCATTCAGTTAAGAAGGATGATATTCTCTCGCGAAATCGAAACCGCTACCTAGATAAGTACAGCATCAGTAATGGTGATGAATAGCAAGTGCTCTTCCGTTAAAAGTTGTATAAAGAATATCGATAACATAAAAAATAACCAATTGAAGATCTAATAAGAAATTGAAGAAGTATGACTATATATAACTCTACATTTAAAAATTCACAAAAAACAAACTGATCATCCCTCCTTCAAGACCTCAGTAGATCAAATTAGATTGGCTTACACTATACTCAACACACCTTCTGAATTTAAAGAAGTTAAAGCCCAAACCGATGCTATATGGCGGTTGCACATTCCCACCTGCCAAAACAGCCAAAAAAAAAGAAAAAAAAGAAAAAAGAAGCAAGATCCTTGAGTTTCAATTCCTTGTCAAAACTCACACCAAGCTAAAGAAAGAAAAAATAAGCCAAAACCGATTGAGGAAAAAAAAAAAAAAAAAAGAATTTGAGTACCTGCATATGGAAACATGAGCCAAGCGAGGAGAAAGAAGAAAGTGGGGGCAAAACCAAATCCCAGTGCCTATTTTGAATTCTCTCTTTCTCTTAAGTATCATTTTTTTTTTTCTTTTGTTCATACTCTATCCAATTATACAATACAAAAAGAAGCATCAAGGGAAAAACAAAAAAACAAAAACAAAAACAAAACAAAACAAAAAAAAAAAAAGTTTCAATACTCAGCCTCCCAGCTCTTGACTCATGCTTCTCCCCAAATTTTCCCACTTTCTAATGTATCAATCTCATCCATGATCCATAATTCACCACTCTATTAAGTTTTAATTCACTCACTGTCCTGAGCCTTGAGAATCATCCTTAGCAGAAGTTTGATGGTTCGGATTCTGCTGTTGCTGCTGCTGCTGCTGCTGTTGGTGGTGATGGTGCTGATGGTGGTGGACCCTACCCATCTGGTGATACATCTGGGTCAGAGCCTGAGTGTTCAAAACCCCAATATGACACCCATCTTGTGACAATCCAAGCTCCAACCCAGGAGCCTGCTGGCTTGCCCCACCACCCAAAATTGATGTAAAACTCATGTGTGGTGAAGGACCACCCATCCCCATGTTCGTCACCGGCAAGTCAAACCCAGAAAACCCAATCTTCTGCAAGTAATTCGAACTCCCTCCTCCTCCTTCCTCACCCGTTGATCCTCCTGCCATTGATCCTGATGATGATGACGACTGAAACCCCCCACCAATCCCAACACCATACCCACCACTGTTACTGACCAACCCTTGCGGTGGGCCCCACATCCCTGTGGCCCCCACGACATGGGCTGCTGCGGCTGCTGCTGCTCTCCCCAAATTCCCCCACCCTTCGATTTTCTGATGTTGCAGAGAAGCCGAAACAGAGCTCCCCTGCTGCGAAACAGAGGCTCCCGCGGCTGCCAGAGCCGACGCCGGGATCGTCCCCGTCCCCGTGGCGGCGATTATCGACGGCTCCGCCTGCTGGAGCAGCCACTGAATGGTCTCCCCGTCGGACTTGTGGCCCAACTCCCTCGTCAGCTGGAATATTCTGGCGGCGCATAAAGCCGGCATCCGTATTCTCCTTCCCCTGCCTTCGACCTTCGTGTGCCTGTCCTTGTTGGAGCTTCTCTTCGGAGCCAACTGCTTTTTGCTCTCTTCTTTCTCCGCTATCACTATCTGGAAGTCTTTGATCTCCGCAGGTTTGTTTTCTCCCATGTTTTGTTGTTGTTGTTGTTGGGGTGGTGATGATGGTGATGATGGGAGAGTCAAGAAGTTTGGTTTTGGTTGTGGTGGTGATAATGCTTCCTTTGAGCCCTTGGGATCCATGAAGAATAAGAGGGTATAAAAAAAAATTTAAAATTTTATTTAAAAGAAAAGGGAAAATAAAAAAGATGAAAAGAAAAAGAAAAGAAAAGAGTCGTCTTTGATTGAAGAAGAGAAGGTGACCTGAAAAAAAAAAAAAAAAAAAAAAATGTCTTTTTAGACTTTCATGAGATTTCACTGTTTTTGGCAAGGAGCGAAAGACAAAGTTTGAAAAAAAAAAAAGGACAATATAATAAAATATTGAAATCCTAATGTAATGTAGCTATTCATGTCAAAAATCTAGTTTTTTTTTTTTTTTCCTTCCCGATCAAATGTCAAAAATCGTTGTTACCCCATTTTTACATCGTTAGTGGCGGGTTCTTTTTTGAGTTTTGACTAGAGCCAAGAGAGCTTGATCTGAAAGGCAAACACTTCTACTCTATTTGTTTTGAGTGTTTTTTATAATTTTTGATTCGTTATAATATTTTTTTATAAAAATTTTAAATTTTAAAAATTAAAATTAAAAATTTATAAATTAAACATCACTTTTAACTATCAAGGTTTTTTTGTTTTTTTTTTCACCACCTTCTTCGTAAGCACAATAAAAAAGAAAGGGTAATTAATACATATAATCCTTAACTTATTTATGTTTCATTCATTTCACCGATCGATTTGAGTTTTCAGTTTTTGGTTTTTACAGTAAAAAGCTCTCAAAAAATGTCACATCTAACTTTTTTTGTTACAGTGAAAAGCTCTCAGAAAATATCACATCTCAACTCGAATTGAAAACTCAAATTGACTAACTGAACGAGGCCTTAGTAGTTGATAGTTTAGGCATCGCTCATTTTATCGATTCGAGTTTTCAATTCCAATTTTACTACAGTTAAAAACTCTTATAAAAAGTCACATTTAACTTTTTTGTTACAGTTAAAAACTCTCACATAAAGTCACATCTTAATTTGAATTAAAAATTCAAATCGGTGAACTGAACGAGACTTAGGCCTCGTTCATTTCACCGATTCAAGTTTTCAGTTTTAGGTTTCTACAGTAAAAAACTCTCAGAAAATGTCACATCAAAATTTTCTGTTATGGTGAAAAGTTTTCAAAAAATGTCACGTCTCAACTCGAATCTGCAAAGTGAACGAGACCCTAGTCTTTTTTTTAATTTTAACAAAAACTTCCCAATCTTATTAAATTAGTGCAATTTAATCATTTCCCTCAAATTTTTAACAGAAGGCGTCATGTGTAAAACATGTAATCTAATATGAGAGGGTAAGTTGGTAAAATAACAATGATTATATTTTAACAAAAAATTAAAACTAAATAAATCGTCAATACAAAGGGCAAAAAAAAAAAAAAGAAAAGAAAAAAGCCAGCGTGAAAGAGAGAGAGCGCCGGAAATCCTACCAACAATCGAAATAAAAAATTCTTAAAAAACCCTAGAATCATACCCAAACAAAAATCAGATAGAGAGAGAAGAACTAGCAGGGAGAAATGGGGAAGACTATGCAGTGGAGGCGGCGATGATCTGCGAAGGCCGGGGCGGGGTTGGCTCGCGATGATCCCGTGGCGGATTGGCGTACGATCAGATCTTGTAGACGAGGCCGAATCTGTTGTCGCCGACGATCAGGTGGACGGAGAAGTTTCTGGTGGCGACAACGACGATCTTGGCCATGGAGACATGGAGGAATGGGTCGAACAGAAGCACTCGTCGTCGGAGCCGTGGAATGGAAATTCTAAAAAGAAGAATTAAAAAACCCAGAGCGTAGATCAAAACTTTGTGGAAAACAAAAATAAAGATTGTTTGTTTATTTTATTTTTAAAGAGTTTGTGAATAAAGATCAAAAGTTATTTTCACGATCTGGAGAAGCAATAATAGCGACGAAAGCGATGATGGAGCAACAAATTTTGGTTAATGTCAGCGGAAATTATGAAAACTTTTTTTGCTTCTTCTCCTCTCGATTTGCAATCCCATAAATGCGATTGCAATTACACACAGACTTTCTCTGCGTGCAAAGCTTTTTGAAACTTAAGAAAGACTCAACTTTTGAGTTTGTTGCTCCAACTTCTATTTCTAGCCTGTATTTGATAGACATTGGCCTTTGTTAATGTTTACTCCGATGAAGACTCCCAGATGCAATCACCAGCAATGGAATTTGGACTTCTGTTCCACTCATGGACTTTTGTTATTATTTTTTGTTCTGCGAAACGATAAAGGTGACGTTTAGTTTAGTTCATCATTCTCATTTTTAAAATTTAAATTTTTTATAAAAAAAAAATATTATAATAAATTAAAAATTATAGTTTTGAATTATAATAGAACTCTCAAAATAAATGGAGTAAAAATTACTGAGTTTTGATTGACATAAAAAATATTAATTTTTTTTTCCTTTATCTTTAGGTCTTTAGCCTTTACTAGGGTTATTTAAGTCAGATTTAATTTGTTGATTTAAATTTTTAATTTGAGTTAAAATATAATTTTATATAAGAATATTTTATTATAGTAGAAAAAATTAATGTGATTTTTTATGAGAAATTTTAACTGTAGTAAAATTAAAATTAAAAATTTAAATCAGTAAAATGAATGAAAAATTAATATTTTCAATAAAAAATAAACATGTTTGAAACTCACGTGAAAAAAATCGTCTAAAAATTGATGGAATTGGACAGAAATAATTTAATTGCATCAGTTTAATAAAGTTGAAGAGTCTTTTATCAAAATTAAAAAATAAGCGACTAACTATTAAATAAGTTAAGGATTATGTGTCAATTATTTAAAAGAAAAGTACAGTCATGAATGGTTGCTTCTAACCCACTCTAGGCGAAAAAAAAAATCTATCTTTTAGATTTGTTTTATATTAGACAAACTCTTTTTTTTTTTCAAAAAAAAAAAGAGTTTTATAGACCAGAAAGGATGTTGCAGTTGCACAAAAAGAAGAGAGGTGAGGGGTTTTGAGATTTTTTTTTTCGTCATTTCTGTTTGGAGATAAAGATGCTATCTAAGTGGGACCTTTGGTCCTCATGATGTTTTCCTTAATAAGAGTTTCTCTCTGACGATTCATGGGCCATACATATAGTCAAGACTCAAAGATCTCTCTTAGGATTGTTGTGTTAGATTTGTACCATTAGAACCCCTTTTGTTAGTTTGCTAGTTAGCTTCACTTTCCCACTCCCAAAAAAGGAAATCAGAGCACCAAATTGGAAAGAAGTAAACTTGCTTACACAGGTTAAGGTTACATAAGTATTATATAGGGTTCTAACAAAAAAAAAAAATGTAAATATTTAGTGTGGAAAAATAATACCCAAGTGGGAAAAAATATTTTGCTATTGAAAAGATCAATATTGTAGGGGTCAGAAAATTACTACTTATGAATAGTAGTACTCTTCAAGACGGATATATAAAAGGATAAAAGGAAAGCCTAAGAAACCAATAAAATTTTACATAATTTTATAAAAAAAAAAAAAAACTTTTAGTATAAGAATTCAATTATGAAATTGAGTGCAATATAATTATCCAATTTTTGCTGAATCTAATTATCCAATTATTCACTCAATTTGTACATCCAAATGAGAGAAGTAGAAACGGACACTTGTCGAACATAATTAAACTCAATAGTTTGGGTGGATACATAAATTTAATAGCTAAAGAAAGTGCTAGGAAACCCCTTAAATTTCTCTTCAATTAAAAAAAAAAAAAAGCCCCTAAACTTCTCCAATGACAAAGATGACACATTCTGATCCCTTCTGCTATGAAAGCGATATTCCATGTCTTAATATCAAATACATTTTGTTCTTTAATGCGTAAAATATGTGTATAAAGACCAAAGAATCCTAACAAGTAGCAAGGGAAGGGAATGAATAATAATATTTGCTGATATATATAGGTGCATGTGTCGTATGTGTTCGTGGTTTTGTACTGATTCATAATTGATCTTGATGGACTTAATTTAATAATAATTATCAACCAGCGATAGCTACAACATATACCCCACAAGAATCCACACATACTGCCTTGAAACATGGCGCCCTCTTGACCTCTACATATAAGATATACATATTTATAACCATAACCAACGTGATTTCCAACTTGGAGGTTATTTATCCTAGGCCATTTCCATACGCTTTTTCCACCCTAGAATATCACAGTGGAATAGTAATTAAAACAAAAACAAAAACAAAAGTGTTGAGTCGTGTGGGTCGTTTTGACTCTCTTTTTATGTTTTGGGCTTTGGTTGGCTTAGTTGGGTTTCATGTTTGGATTGTTTATTTTGAAAGTGTCAAGAAATGTCGTACAAATTTTGTTTGAGTCGTTTAGTTCCTTAAGTAATGTTGTGCGTTTTGACAAAATCTAGAGTTAGTCTTTCGAATTTGTTAGGTTCGTTCGAATAGAATAAGATCAGCTTTTGGGTTCGTTCAAATAGAAGAAATCAGCTTCACAGTTTTGAATTAAGATAAGACTCTGAGGATTTCGTGAAAAAGATCAAAATTGCGTTGGTATTTTGATTTAAACCAGGATTTGAAATTGAAACAAATATCTGTTAAAGATTTTGTTTTAGTTTGAATACAAGGTTTATTCAAAACCGTATTTCATGATAAATTTGTTTTGAAGATCAAGATATCATCTAAAAAGAGATTGGAGTGCTGAGAATCTGGGTCAAGGAAACTAAAACTGGAATATGCGAAGTAGATTACGTGTTTTGAATTTTAAACTGATAACTGTCTTATCTGTAACTACAGATTCTGATTTTAAATTAGATCAATTTATAAAAGGTTGCTGCACGAGGAATCAGATGATGGACTGCAATTCTAATAAAGTACGGAGTGCACAAGTTGAAGAGATATAGCATTCATCGATTTTGTTCTTTGAGAGAAGATTTTGTGAGCTTTCGGGAGAAGGCGTTTGAAGACGAGTGGTGCTCGCCAAGCTAGCCACTTAGGGTGTTAGGCACAGCGGCGTCGATAGTCAAGAGGGAGTCTTGGGTTGGTTAAGTCCGATTGGTGTCTGTAACTTTGTACCTATTAGTGGATTGCTTGATGTCTGGGGGTGGCCCTGTGGATGTAGGTCGGTTTGACTGAACCACGTTTAAT